CGTCTCGAACCCGCGGGCTGAGGCAATCCACTCACCTCAGCCTCCCAAAGGCGCGGGATTACAGGCTGAGCCACCGAGCCCGGCTCTATGTTTTTATACAGAGGAGGGGAAAATCTTTCTTGCAGCACATGTTTTCAAGGGCTAGTAGAAGACAAAATTAAGTTGCACTCTGATTCAGTCCTTCAAGTCCTGATTGTTCAATATACACATTCATTCAACACATATTTGCTGAGGATCTATTAAGTGTTGGGTGCTAGGTTAGACTGTAGGGACACAGGGTGAACAAGGTAAGCATTGATTCTGCTCTGCCAAAGCCTATTGTCTAGTGTAGATCAGAATAACTTTGGGAAGGAGAAAGTGATAGCTCAAATTTATCCTCAAGTCCCAAACAGATTTTCTCAATGTTGCTGGCAGACAATGTGTCTCCAATGATATTCACCTTAGTCTAAATTTGTATGAGGGTAATCTTAGAAAAAGACTAAGGTAGTCTTCTATGCCTCCCACACCTGCAAATCATGCCTCTCTCTACATGAAGGAAATTAAGCAATGAATGTAAATGTATTCACTACCACACAACAATTCAGTTAGTTTTAGTTGTATCATGAGTTAATAGGTTGAAATTTCAGTAGAACTATGGCAATAGAACATAAATGTAACTAATCACTTTTTCAGAAAATGATAACATTCAATGTCAGTAATCATGCTTTAACTTCAAAAATAAGAATACTAATAGAATTAAGTGGGAAACAAATGATAGCTTGCCACTGACAGATTAATGTGACTTGATAGCAGTTATAAGGAAAAATTTCTCAAATACCTATAATTTAGGATAATTAATATACTGGCAGATAAAATGAAATTCTAGTAGCATCAATGTCATTGAAACAAACAGGTATGTACTATGTGAAGCTCTTCTGGATGTGAGTTAGATCAGATTATTGAATTAAAGTTTTGGGCAAGATGCGAAGCTATAATAATTGCTATCTCCAGATAGATATGGTGGATGATATACAGAATTTACAAAAGAGGTATGATAAAACTCGTTAGGGGGTCACTTGAACTACTTTACCCACTGAAGATATGAAAGTATTGAGAGATAGTATATTGAGAGGGTTAGAATTATTTGTAAGAATGTTCTTTGTTTGAGAGAGAGCTGTTTTGCCCCTTTCTCTGCAAAGGGGAAGAATGTAGACAAGCACTATTTCCTAAGTCCAAGTCTGAGGAGAAGGACTTCATGAAGTTTCCTATAATGTTTGCTGCATAGCTTTTGCAGTTGACTATGCACTCTGACATACAGTTTTGGAAGTCTCAATGGCAAGAGAGATGGACCATTCAACTGTTTTGGCAGTGAAGTGGAGTTCAGCAGGGGAATTGACCTGCACCCTAAATTTGGTCAGCACAGGGGGTTTGTGAGTGTTTCCTTTGGGCCAGATGAGGGTCATACAGGAGAAGGAGCTATCCTGGTTCCATTTCAGATTTTACTCAGTGAAATACAGAAAATCTGGAATTTGCTTAAAAATTCCCAAGGGAATAAAGGTAAGGTGGGAAAAGCTTGGTAATTGCTGAAGCTGGATGATCAGTACATGGAAGTTCACCGCGTAATTCTCTCTTTTGGGAGTAATCACTAACAGTAAGTTTAGAAAATTCTGTTCAGGAAGATCACCATAGAAAGGCGATGGGATTTCAATGAAGAAGATCTGTTTCCAATGGGGAAGTGCATGCACCACTCAGGAAGCTGGGGACTGAGGGAACACAGCAACTGGGGGAATAGAATGCCTGGTCATTGTCAAGAGAATGTCAGGAGAGTACGTGGGACTCTCTGTAGAATGTGTAAAAGTACCCTCCATAGGAAAAAGTTCTCTTAAACAGTTTTCCAGCCCAGACATTGAGAAGCCTTAACTGACAGTACTAGGCAAATAATAGCTATTCTATCCCTATTAATTTTTCCTTTCTCTTGTTCAAAACAGGTCGGGCAAGTGAAGTCCACAAGCAAGAGAGAGAGAGAGAGAGAGAGAGAGAGAGAGAGAGAGAGAGAGAGAGAGAGAGAGAAGAAAAAATGGGGCAGGAAGTAAGAAAAAAGGAGAAGGGAAGGAGGAGAAGGTAAGGGAAAGAAAGAAGCTACAAACTCCATTTCAAGGGGGCTGATGAATTTGGGCAGGCAGCTTGTGTTCAATCATTTCCAGTTAGGACAAAGTAGATTCATCAGATGGAGAAAAAGAAGGGAAGACCACACCCATTCTACCACTTTAAGGACCTACACTAATCAGGATCTTTCTGGGGAGAGGAAAATGTTTTTTAATTTAAGTCAAGTTCCAAGTTTTGATTAACAAATGAAACTGGACAATTTTAGTTACTGAATTGACTTTTGATTTATGAATTAAAGTGTCTGCAAGACATTTTCATCTGGTGACAGGGGTTGAACTACCTATGTGTTGTCCACTGAGAAGTTTTAAAACGCAAAAGATGATATTGATTTACACTGCAAGCAATCTGCTTGTTC